GGAGGGACGGTCTTGGTCTCATGGGGCAGTTTGTGGGCCCCAAAGAATGACAGGAGTGAGGTTAAGGGTCACTGATCACAGAGCACATGACGGTGATGTCAGTGACAAGGTTTGTGTATTTCGAGAATGGCACTGTGAGCACCGGCCGTGGGGAGTGGTGCCAGGGGCTGGCGAGATGCAGGGCTGCACACACCTTTGGCTGGTGGACTGCACAGTCTCAGGAAGCTCAGTGGAGCCAGGCTGCCTGTATTGCCAGAAATAACAAGGGGCATTTCAAAATGAATGAAGAGGCTGTTCATCAAGTTATAAAATCTTAAATATGTGTCCACATAATAAGATAAATTCTAAATACATGAAGCAAAACTTACAAAATCAAAAGGAGACATGAATACTAGTACATCCACAGTTATAGTTGGAGACTGCAATCTTCTCATTATTTGATATAAGTAGTCACAAAAGCAGTTGTCAGCTGATTTTATCAGTTACCATTATCTTACTACTGTCAGCCGACTGGATTGACTCCCCAGCAGCAGAGAGAACCCGGTGTCCAGGTACACATTCATTGGGATGGACTGTGCCGTGTCATAGGCAAGGATTGGGGAGGAGACTGCAGCTTGCATGCAGGTCCTGCCACTACTTGCTCTCTGCAGCTTGCAGACTGAGAATAGTTGGTTGTTAAGATTTTTAATTGATTTTCAGAGAGAGAGGAAGGGAGAGGAAGAGAAAGAGAGAAACATTGATGGATTGCAGTCCCTTGCACACAACCAAGGCATGTGCCCTGACTGGGAATGGAACCAACAACTTTTCTGTGCATGGGACCACACTCAACCAACCAACTGAGCCACGCTAGTCAGGGATGAGAGTAGTTTTTATGTTTTTAAAGAATTGTTAGGAAAAGAACATGCAACAGAGATCCCATGTGACCTACAAAGCTGAAAATAACTCCTGCCTAGCTCTTTCTGAAGAAGTTTGTTGACCTCCATGCTAGGCCATAAGTTAAATACCAATTCAGTTAAAGGAATGAAGTCACATAAGCCTACGCTCTCTCTGAGCACAACAGAAATGAGATATCAGTAGCAAAGAGCTATTTAGGAAGTCCCAAAATGATTAGAAAATTAAGCATTATATTTTAAAATGTAAGTCCAAGAAAAAATCACAAGGATCATTATGAATATAAAAATCTGTGGGATGCAGCTAAAGCAGTGCTCGAAAGAAACTTTGCAGCTTTAAATGCTTATAATAGGAAAAAGGTCTAAAAAAAATCAATGATCTGCCAAAACTGGTTTGGCTCAGTGGATAGAGCGTCGGCCTGCGGACAAAAGGCCCCAGGTTCAATTCCGGTCAAGGGCATGTACCTTGGTTGCCAGCACATCCCCAGTAGGGGATGTGCAAGAGGCGGCTGATTGATCCACTCTTGTTGATGTTTCTAACTCTATCCCTCTCTCTTCCTCTCTGTAAAAAATCAATAAAATACATTTTAAATAAATAAATAAATAGATAGATAGATAGATAGATTGATTGATAGATAAAAAAAAATCAATGATCTGACCAGGCTAGTGAGGTCCCTGGTTCAGTTCCTGGTCAGGGCACATGAACAGGTTGTGGGCTTGATCCCCAATGGGGGGAGTGCAGGAGGCAGCCAATCAATGATTTTCTCTCATCTTTGGTATTTCTCTCTATCTCCCTTCCTCTCTGGGAAAAAAAAAAAATTAATAAAAGAAATTTTAAAAATTTTGTTTAAAAATATATTTTAGCCAAAACCGGTTTGGCTCAGTGGATAGAGCGTTGGCATGTGGACTGAGAGGTCCCGGGTTCGATTCTGGTCAAGGGCATGTACATTGGTTGCCGGCATGTCCCCGGTGGGGGAGGGGGGTGCAGGAGGCAGCTGGTCGATGTTTCTGGCTCTCTGTCCCTCTCCCTTCTTCTCTGTAAAAAAAATCAATAAAGTATATTTAAAAAAATATATGTGTGTGTGTGTGTGTGTATGCATATGTATATATATATATATATAATTGATTTTTTTCAGAGAGGAAGGGAGAGGCATAGAGAGTTAGAAACATCGATGAGAGAGAAACATCATCAGCTGCCTCCTGCACATCCCGTACTGGGGGATGTGCCTGCAACCAGGGTCCATGCCCTTGGCCGGAATCGAACCTGGGACCTTTCAGTCCGCAGGCCGGCGCTCTATCCACGGAGCCAGACTGGTTTGGGCTCTCCCAGCATGTTTGATGAGGACAGCCTGTACCTGGTAGCAGTGGACAGGCCGTCACAGCAAAGTGAACCATCACGATTCGTAGTCACATGCTGTACCTTCCAGCCGTGCAAAACAAAGGCTTGACCTGTGTCTTTATATTTAAAGCCAGCTTTTACCCCTGGCCGGTAGGGCAGGTGGTTGGAGCATCATCCCATACACTGAAGGTTGGCAGGTTCGATTCCCAGTGAGGGCACATACCCAGGTGCAGTTTCAGTGCCTGTTTGGGCATGTATGAGAGGCAACCAATTGATGTTTCTCTCTCTCCCTCCCCATTATCCTTCCTTCTCTCTCAAATCAATAAAAAGATAGAATAAGTCATTTATACCCAGCATATAGTTAGTTATTGCTGTTTAAATCTAGTCTGACTATTTCTGTCTTTAATTGAAAGTATTCATCAATGACTGGTATCTTGCTGTTTCCTCCCCATTTGTCCCATCTTTTTTGTTGCTTATTTCTTCTTCTTTTTCCTTTTTATTTTTTTGTCTTCCTCTGGATTACTGCAGTTCTTTTGGTTGATGGGATCTTGTGGTCCACGTGGCCACTCACCCACTCTGTGGCTGGAAGCATGACACACAGAAGCCAGCTCTAGCTGCCCTGTGCTGCCAAGTCTTGCTCCAAGCCTGGAAGAAGCCTTGCCAGCTGGGTCTCCCTGCGGCCCCTCCTCCCAGGATTGCACGTTATCGAGTGTGGGAGTCGCTCAAGAGAGAGGGGTATCTGGAGGTGGGGAGGCCATCTTTTGCCAGGTGCTTCTGGGGATTTCTGGTCTCGCAGTCTGGTGCTGCCCCCCAGTATCCCCTCCACTCCTCATGGGAAATCAAGGGAAATGGCCCCGAGGACACACAGTGCAGGGCAAGTCCAAGCACCCAGCCTCTGAGTGTGGTGCCCTGCACAGCCTGCAGGGCGAATGGGATTGGAAGAGGGGCTGCCTGTTGCCAGGCAGAGGGTACAGGGGAAGGACTGCTTGTGCTGAGGAAGGCACAGCACCCCTGTGGCCAGGGGCTCGGCAGGCAGGGGGGTGCCCAAGGGGCTGGGGGCCATTGTGGAGCAGTCTGGTGAGGGGGATGTGAGGCGGGATGGGAGGAATGTGGAGGAGTCTGGTTTAGAAAAGGCCTCTGTGCAGCAGGGACAAGAGGCTGCTGGGGGGTCGGCTGGACAGCGAGGACACAGGGCTCACATCGTGTGGACAGCCTTTCTCTTCTAGGCCAAAGGTAGAGAAGTCCATCTTCTCATCTGTTACCATAATTGCAAATACTCTATAATAATAAAAGCATAATATGCTAATTAGACTGGATGTCTGTCCTTCTGTAGGAAGCCGGCCTGCTAGGGAAGCCCTGGTCCTGAGTGCCTGCCGGCAGGTTGAATCTGTTAAAGACCCAGGCTTTGTTCTTCATTCTGTGTCAGACAGGGACCTAGGCCCACAGACTGACACGTGAGGCTCACTCAGCGGGACAAACCTCGTATCTTCCAGGCCAAGCCATCAGGAGCCTAGAGAGTGTGTGAGGTGCAGAGGACACAGTAGCAGCCTCAGGGCCCAGCGGAGTGTGAGGGACATGTGGCTTTAGGATAACCCACTCAGCAAGAAGGCACAGTGAGGGGAGGTGCCAGGTAGTGGGAGGGGTGAAGCGAAGCAAGCTATCTTGCTGAGATTGTATTCTATGAGATGTTTTTTTAAAATCTTTTTGCTGATTTCAGAGAAGAAGGGAGAGAGAAAGAGAGAGAGAAGCATCAGTGATGAGAATCATGGATCGGCTACCTCCTGTACACCCCACACTGGGGATCAAACCCGCAATCCAGGCCTGTGCCCTGACCGGGAATCGAACCGTGACCCCCTAGTCCGTAGGTCGATGCCTAATCATCTGAGCCACACCAGTCAGACTCCGTGAGATGTTCTGTGTTTTTTTTTTTTATGAGATGGTCAATCAGGCACAGCCACGAGAGGAGACTCAGAGTCTCAGGAAAATAAAGTTGTTACCTCATGGTTCCTGGAGACAGGAGGCCTGTTCTTCATGCATAGCCACATGGGGGACTCCAAGGGTGTAGGGAGCAGAGGACAGGTGTTGATGCTTAGGCACAACCTCTGGGGGGGTTTCCATGGGAGAGGCAGGGCCTATGGACAGGGTAGGTGGGCTCTAAGTCGCTGGGTAGTCCCTGGTTGCCTGGGCCCTGGCCCTGAGATAAAGGCAGGAGTATTGGCCGGAGGCAGGGGAGGGCTGGGCATAGTGGAGGAGCCCTCTGAATGGGAGTGTGCAGAGGGCACAGGCCGGCCCCTGCTGGGCCCTCTGCTGCCTCTAAGATTGACCAGCCAGGGAGTGGCATCTCTCTCCAGCCAGAAAGGTGTTCTAAGCTGTCAGAGCACCGTCTACAGAAAACTGACAGTCCATTCAATCCAGGGACCTTGGGGAGAGGGGTCCAGCGCTCACTCTGAGGTGGGGCTGTGAATCATTGACTTGATTGGGGTGCAGAGGCATCCCTGCCTGGCACATGCAGACACTTCTCCTGAGGGGGCAGGGAGTGAGAGAGCACCCAGGGTGGGAACGGAGCTGAGGAAGGCGGTCAGCGAGCAGGGAACCGAATGCTGGATGTGACGTCCCTGCTGACGTGAGAGCCTAACCGGAGAGGCGTGGGCAGAGCGGGTGCTGGGAGAGCGCCGTCTCCAGCGCTGGCCCTTGTGGGGACTGACTCTGGGACTCGGTCAGGTGTGGGGAGTGACCCTCTGGTCTTTGCCTGCAGGTCTGTGGCCGTCACCATGTTCTGGAAGTTCGACTTGAACACCACGTCCCACGTTGACAAGCTGCTGGATAAGGAGGATGTGACGCTGCGGGAGTTAATGGACGAAGATGACATCTTACAGGAGTGCAAGGCCCAGAACCGGAAGCTGCTGGACTTCCTGTGTCGGCCACAGTGTATGGAGGAGCTGGTGAGCCTCATCACACAGGACCCGCCCCTGGACATGGACGAGAAGGTCCGCTTCAAGTATGTACCGGGCAGGGCTGCAGGGGAGCGGGCTGCAGGGGAGCAGGGCTGCAGGGGAGCAGGCTACAGGGGAGCGGGCTGCAGGGGAGCGGGCTGCAGGGGAGCAGGGCTGCAGGGGAGCGGGCTACAGGGGAGTGAGCTGCAGGGGAGCAGGACTGCAGGGGAGCGGGCTGCAGGGGAGCTGGCTTCAGGAGAGCAGGCTACAGGGGTGGCAGGGCTGCAGGGGAGCGGGCTGCAGGGGAGCAAGCTGCAGGGGGCGGGGCTGCAGGGGAGCAGGCTACAGGGGAGCGAGCTGCAGGGGAGCGGGGCTGCAGGGGGGGCAGGCTATAGGGGGGGCAGGGCTGCAGGGGAGCGGGCTGCAGGGGAGCGGGCTGCAGGGGAGCTGGCTTCAGGAGAGCAGGCTACAGGGGTGGCAGGGCTGCAGGGGAGCGGGCTGCAGGGGAGCAAGCTGCAGGGGGCGGGGCTGCAGGGGAGCAGGCTACAGGGGAGCGAGCTGCAGGGGAGCGGGGCTGCAGGGGGGCAGGCTATAGGGGGGGCAGGGCTGCAGGGGAGCGGGCTGCAGGGGAGCGGGGCTGCAGGGGGTCAGGCTGCAGGGGGGCAAGCTGCAGGGAGCGGGGCTGCAGGGGAGCAGGGCGGGGCTTCCTGGTGGACAAGTGAGGAGGCTGCTCTTGGGGGGTGACTTGCATTCTGAGCTGTAGGGCGCCTATGGTGTGCTGGAGGACAGACCTGGGAGGGGGCTTGGGAGACAATGGGCTCTGCTTTCCTCTGGGCTCAGCAGAATATGTCATTAGTGACCATTCTCAGTTTTTCCTAAAATGTCCCATTCTTCACTTGACCAGGATGTCAGAAGGAAGGGGTGTGGCGAGGGTCTGGCATAAGGACTGAGGAGTTTGAGGATAGGAAGGTGACAGGAAGGGCAGAGCGGATGCAGCCTTAGGCTCTGAGGTTGCCCACTGGGGCCTTGGCAGCTCTTCAGGACAGATGGCCAGATGGACAGCGAGTGGTGGGAGGTCTTAGAACAGGGTCACAGCGTCAACCAATGAGCCAGGAGGTTACGGTTCGATTCCTGGTCAGGGTACAAACCATGACCTGCAGGTCACATCCTGTTTTTGTGTGACTTGCAAGCTAAGAATGGGTCTGTATTTTTAAATGGTTGTTTCACATGAAAATGATACAAATTCACATCTCATTGTTCATAAAGAAAGTCCTGTTGGAGCACAAGCACACCTAACCCGCTGGCAGTTACAAGGGCAGACTGGGTGGCTCAGCAGAGACAGGGCTGTGCTGGACAAGCCGGTGGGGGTCAGGGGTGCCTGTGCTTGGTGAGACGGGCTGGATGGTGGAGGCGCCACAGCCTTGGCTCTAGTGCCTCTGTGGGAGGTCATATAGAGGGCGCTGTGCTGGGATGCTCCTGCTCCGCGTGTGGCCTCAGCCTCACGGCATCACCATCACCGTTCACAGCCCACCCCCTCACCCTCTCGCTCCCCATGTGCCTTCCCTGTCGGGAGGGCGGGCGTTGGCGACAGGTCTGAGGGAGCGGGGCAGGGCTGAGCAGAGGGGTCCTGGAGCAGCATCCTGGGCCAGGGGAGTTTTCTCGCCTGAGTCTGAAAGAGATTGGTGACAGATGGTACAAAGCCAAGCAGACAGGGCAAGAAGGAACTATTCGCTCTAGGGCAGTGGTTCCCAACCTTTTTTTCGGCTACACCCCACCTAAGCATCTCTAAATTCCTGATGCCTCCTGTGACATATAATTCTTTTTTATAAAATATATTTTATTGATTTTTTACAGAGAGGAAGGGAGAGGCATAGAGAGTCAGAAACATCAATGAGAGAGAGAAACCAATCAGTTGCCTCCTGCACACCCCCCACTGGGGATGTGCCTGCAACCAGGGTATTTGCCCTTGACCGGAATCAAACCTGGACCCTTCAGTCCGCAGGCCGTCGCTCTATCCACTGAGCCAAACCGGTCAGGACTATAATTCTTATTTAAAAAGTGAACTATTCACATGGAGGAAGCCTAAAAGACCATTAACTTGGTTTAAACAAGCAAGAAAGAGAAAAAGGAACAAAAGGACATTGAAGTACTAAGGAAGAAGTCACTCAGAAATTGTTAAAAAATAATATGAAGTGATATAAAAAGGTAGCAAATAAAGTTTCAAAACATAATAGAGAACTGAAATGTATAATATGTCACATGTATATTTATAGACTGTATATGAGGTCCCTAGAACCATAAGAAATGCAAAATATTCACTGTTAATAACTCATTCTCAAAATGCCCCCTTAAAAATCAAATTGCCCCCCTGGGGGCCCTGTGCCCCATGTTGGCAACTTCTACTCTAGGGGAAGGAAACAAGCAAGCAAACACCCAGCTGAGCAGGTGCCCAGCTGTGGACTACGTGTTCCCACCAAGGCGGGCCCTGGGTGTGGGCTCTCACCATGTGCTGCGTACCAGGGGCCCTTGCAGTCTCATTCGTGGCCTTCGGCACAGGAAGCCTCTGTCTTATTTCTTTAATAACTTTCTCTCTCACAGGTTTCCCTCTGTTCTTTCTGGCAAATTGATACTTCTTATTTTTCCACTTAATGTCTTGTCTTTGCCTTTGTTGTACATCTGAGAGGTTTCATCAAATTTTATCTTCCTCCCTTTTGTTGATTTTTAAGTTTTCTGTTATCATTTGTTACTTTTCATCTTTTGAATACAAGCCTCTGGCCCTTTTAAAAAATATTTTTATTGATTTCAGAGAGTAAGGGAGAGGGAGAGAGAGAGAGAAACATTAATGATGAGAGAGAATCATGGATCGGCTGCCTCCTGCATGCCCCCCACTGGGGATCAAGCCTGCAACCCAGACATGTGCCCTGACTGGGAATCGAACCTGGGACCCCTTCAGTTTGCAGGCTCAGAGGTTTGCCAGTGTTTCCCTCTGCATCCTAAGAGGCAGATTATTTAAACTGTTTTCCCGAGAGTTGGAGAAGTCTAATTTCACCTCCAGTTGCTGGCATTGTGCCCTTTAGGTACCCGAACACGGCCTGTGAGCTGCTGACATGCGACGTGCCGCAGATCAACGACAGACTGGGTGGGGACGAGACTCTGCTGAACCTCCTCTACGATTTCCTGGACCACGAGCCGCCTCTCAATCCTCTGCTCGCCAGTTTTTTCAGCAAGACCATCGGCAGTCTCATTGCAAGAAAGACGGAACAGGTAAAAAGCCTGCCATGCCCGTGTGGTCTGGGTGGTGGCCTGGCGGACGCCTCACTGCCAGCTATCGCGGCACGATGTGCCAGCAGGCGGGGGACTCAGTGGAGCAGTGTGGGCGGCTGACCTGTGAGGTGGAGGTGGAGGTGGAGTAAGAAGGTGGCTTCCCAAGAGGTATTCTGCTGCCGGCTCTGCAGTCTCAGCGCTCCCCGCCACGCTGGGAACCCAGGCCCCAGCCACAGGCCTGAGTCCTGGCAGGATTGTAGCTGTCCGTCCTTGGAGGCACGTATGCCTCTGTGTGGGTGGCCAGTGGCAATGTCTAGGGCACTTCCTGTTTTAAAGCAAATTAAAAAAAAACTTCTAGCAGTCAGCTTCTGTGAAATAGTGAGTGACTCCTTTTCTGAGCTTGTCTTCCTGGAGTCGGTGCTGCTGGTCTCACATCCAGCGGACACTTGCTTCAGTGCCTCCCCCTCCGCAGACGAGCAGACGAGAGCCATGACCTTGGACAGCTGCAGGGCACTTTCTGCACCCAGTCCGCCCAGGTCCCTGGGGCCTGTTTGAGAGCATTTCATCCCTGTAGATACTTACATCTCTCAAGTACAGGACGTTTTCAATCGGCTGCAGGAGGGACAGGCTTTGTTGAGCAGATCCCATGATCACACCCCACAATGGTTAACCATGATGGCTTGGTGTCTTCACGTCCTAGGCTGGGGACAGCCCTATATTCCGTGACTGTCTGGAGCTGAGAGGTGTAGCCCCAGCAGAGCATGGTGGGCGGAAGGGGACCCTGTGGCATGTTGGGTCTTCAGTGGACTGTCCCCATCATGGGGTTGTAAATCTGAGGTTTGCAGGGGACCTCAGAGGACCTCAGATACTTTTTTGGAAACTGGCAGAGAAGGAGTGAAGACTCGGCAGTGAGTCTCGGTCCCAGAGAAGCAGTGCTGCCGGGCAGCGGGGAGCTGGAATGGAGGGCAGGCCTGGGTTCCCCAGTGTCCTGCCCGCCTTCCAGACCGGTGCCTGCACACGTGTGTCCCAAGCCACTCTACCTCCAGACACTGTCTGGATTTTCCTGCTGCTTATAACACCTCCGTCTTCTTCCCTTACCAATAATATGGACGGCACTCCTAAAAAGTAGTTTTTCTACTGACAAAGGTAACGCATTTATATGAAATTCAGGTAAGACAGAAATACAGAAAGCAGTCTTAGGTGACACTCCAGGGGAACCACTGTTGATTGGTAATTTAAAGTTTTTTCAGTGTGTGCCCACTGCCCAAGCTCAGGTCATCCTCCAGCACTTTGCCCTTTACACCCACCCCCTTCCCTCTGATGGCCACCATACTGTTGTCTGTGTCTGAGTTTGCTTTACATCCCACATATTGAGAGAAATCATATAGTTCTTAGCTTTTACTGACTGACTGATTTTACTTAGCATGACATTCTGAAGGTCCATCCGTGATGTTGCAAATGGTGGTAGTCCGTCTTTTCTTATGGCTGAGTAGTCCTCCATTGTGGATGTGCCACAGATTCACTAGGCCTCTATTGAGGGAGCTCTGTGAATAATGCTGTAATGAACATAGGCTGCATATCTCTTTGTGAAGAAATGTTTTCAAGTTTTTCAGGTAGATACCCAGAAGAGGGATTGCTGGGTTATATAGTAACTTTATTCTTTTTTTTTATTTTATTTTTTTAAATCCTCACTTGAGAATATTTTTTCCATTGCTTTTCAGAGACGGAGGGAGGGAAGGGGAGAGAGAGAAAATCATCAATGTGAGAGAAACGCCACCTCCCACACATGCCCTGACTTGGGGCCAGGAACGAACCTGCAACCCAGGTATGTGCCCTTGACTGGGAATCAAACCCACAACCCTTTGGTGCGAGGCCCGATGCTCTAACCACTTTGCAACACCAGCCAGGGTGGTAACTCTATTCTTAATTATTTTTAGAAACCTCCATAGTGGCTGCACCAATTTACTTTCCCACCAGCAAGAGTTCCATTTTCTTTTTTTTCCTTTTTTTAATTTAATAAATCTTTATATATATATATATATATATATGTATGTATGTATATATATTTTAATTGATTTTTTACAGAGAGGAAAGGAGAGAGATAGAGAGTTAGAAACATTGATGAGAGAGAATCATCGATCAGCCGCCTCTTGCACATCACCTACTGGGGATGTGCCCGCAACCAAGGCACATGCCCTTGACCGGAATTGAACCTGGGACCTTTTGGTCCACAGGCCGACGCTCTATCCACTGAGCCAAACTGGTTTCGGCTAATTTAATAAATCTTTATTGTTCAGATTATTACAATTGTTCCTCTTTCTCTCCCCCCACATAGCTCCCCTCCACCTGGTTCCCAACCCACCCTCTGCCCTTACCTCCTCCCACTGTCCTCATTCATAGGTGTATGCTTTTTGTCCAGTCTCTTCCTGCACACCCCTTTTTCCCTGAGAATTTTCAGTCCACTTCCTTTCTATGTCCCTATTCTATTATATTCACCAGTTTATTCTGTTCATCAGGTTTTTAATTCACTTGATTTTTAGATTCACTTGTTGATAGATATGTATTTGTTCAAAATTTTTATCTTTACCTTTTTCTTCTTCTTCTTCTTCTTCTTAAAGAATACCTTTCAGCCAAAACCAGTTTGGCTCAGTGGATAGAGCATCATCCTGCAGACTGAAAGGTCCCAGGTTCGATTCTCGTCAGAGGCATGTACCTTGGTTGTGGGCACATCCCCAGTAAGGGGGTGTATAAGAGGCGGCTGATCAATGCTTCTCTCTCAATGATGTTTCTAATTCTCTATCCCTCTCTCTTCCTCTCTGTAAAAAAACAATAAAATATGTTTTTAAAAACTTTTAAAAAATAAAGAATACCTTTCAGTGTTTCATATAATGCTGTTTTGGTGGTGATGAACTCCTTTAGCTTTTTCTTATCTGTGAAGCTCTTTATCTGACCTTCAATTCTGAATGATAGCTTTGCTGGGTAGAGTAATTTTGGTTGTAGGTTCTTGCTATTCATTACCTTGAATATTTCTTGCCATTCCCATCTGGCCTGCATGGTTTCTGTTGAGAAATTGACTGACAATTGTATGGGTGCTCCTTTATAGGTAACAAACTGCTTTCCTCTTGCTGCTTTTAATATTCTCTTTGTCTTTTGCTCTTGGAATTTTAATTATGATGTATCTTGGTGTGGTCCTCTTTGGATTCCTTTTGTTTGGGGTTCTTTGCGTTTCCTGGACTTGTAAGTCTATTTCTTTCACCAGGTGGGGAAAGTTTTCGGTCATTATTTCTTCAAATAGGTTTTCAGTATCGTACTCTCTCTCTTCTTCTGGCACCCCGGTAATTCTGATGTTGGTATGCTTGAAGTTGTCCCAGAGACTCCTTACACTACCTTAATATTTTTGGATTCTTTTTTCTTTTTGCTTTTCTGATTGGGTGTTTTTTGCTTCTTTGTTTTCAAATCTTTGACTTGATTCTTGTGTTCCTCTAGTCTGCTGTTGGGTCCCTGTATATTATTTTTTATTTTAGTCAGTGTATATTTAATTTCTAGTTGGTCTTTTTTCATATCCTTGAGGGTCTCGCTAAATTTATCAGCCTTTTCTAGGAAATTCTTGAAAAACCTTATAACCGTGATTTTGAACTCTATATCCAGTCGTTTGTTTTCCTCCACTTCTTTCATTTGTGATCTGTTTCTTTGTCTCTGTATTTTTGCTGCTTCCCTGAGTTGGTAGGGTAGCTTTGTGTGCCAGGTGTCCTATAGGGCCCAGTGGCTCAGCCTCCCCAGTTACCTGAGGTGGACACTCTTGTTACACTGCTTTGTGGACTGTGTGTACAGCCTTGTTGTAGTTAAGTTTTGATTGTTGTTGGTATCACTTGGAGGAACTGACCTCCAGGCCAATTGGCTATGCGGATCAGCTGTGTCTATGCCAGGAGAACTTCTGTGCTGGAGACAGCCTTATGAGATAAGACTTGCAAAATTGCAAAAGCCTTTGTGCTCAGTTTGGATGGGCTGAGCAGACAGTCTTGGCTTCCCATCAGCCCTGCCTTATGATGCCCCTGGGTCTCAGTGTCCCTCGGTGATCACTGCAAACACCTCTAAGAGTAAGCCACCCTCGGGTTTCGCCCTCTGCTAAACAGTCCAGTTTCTCCCCCAATGAATCTGTATTTCCAGATTCTCGCCCGGAACTGGAGTTCAGCGTAGTAGGGGAGCTTCCGTTTCCCACCTGCTGGAGAAAGCCAGCGGCATTCATTAGAAAGTCCTCTCTTCGCACACTTGCGCACACACCTCCAGACCTCTGCCTTTCACAGCTCCCCTGAGTTTCTGCCTGACAATCAAGACCCCGACCCCCCCCCCCCCCCGCCCTCCGTATATCCCTGGGTCCCCAGGGTCTCACCCGGAACTGGGGTTCAGTGCAGTCAGGAGCCTCTGTCTCCCTCCCACTAGATAAAGCCAGCGAGGCACTCAGCTGCCTGCACGCACGTGTCTCCATACCTCAGCCTTTTGCAGCTCCTCTGAGTCTCAATGTGCTTTCCTTCTAGTTAAAGGATTTCCACTCAGCCAGCTTTCCTGTGGTTCTGAATGATGTTCATTTTGTCTTTAGTTGTAGTTTTGAAATTATTGTGCAAGGCAGCAGTTTAGGTGTTTACCTTTGCTGCCATCTTTGTTTCTCGAGTTTCATTTTCTTCATAACCTCTCTAACACTTGTCATTACTTGTCCTGTTGGTAAAAGCCATTCTAACAGGTGTATCTAATTTAGGGTCCATTTGCATTTCCCTCATAGCTGGTGAAGCTGAGCATCTTTTCATTTATCTGTTGGCCATTTGTATGTCATTGTGGGAGAAATGTCTGTTCAGGTCCTCTGCTCATTTTTTAATTGAATGGTTTCATCCCCAGTCAGGGTGCATACGGAAGGCAAATGAGCGATGTTTCTCTCTCTTTCTCTCCCTCTCCCCCTCGCCCCCTTTCTCCCCTTTCCCCTTTCCTTCTCCCCCCCCCCTTTCTCTCTCTCTCTTCCAAAATCAATAAAAACATATGCAGGGTGAGGATTTAAGAAAAAAGCGATGTGCATTTTATTCCCTGTGTAGGTTGTATCTCCACCATCACAGTCAAGTACCGAGCAGTTCCAAACCACCAGGGTCCTTGGTGTGGGCCCCCCCCTTTTTTAAAAAAAACACATTTTATTGATTTTTTTACAGAGAGGAGGGAGAGGGATAGAGAGTTAGAAACATTGATCAGCTGATGTGCCCACAACCAAGGTACATGTCCTTGGCCGGAATCGAGCCTGGGACCTTTCAGTCCGCAAGCCGATGCTCTGTCCACTGAGCCACACCGGTTTCGGCTTGATGTGGCCCTTTTAACTGCTCCCGCCTTTCTCCTGCCGGTGCCGTCACACATCCCCAACCCCTGCAACCACTAATCAGTTTCTGTTTCTAAAACTGTTATTTCCACATGTTCGGCTAAACACATAATACACGGCCTTTGGGAATCAGCTTTTTTCTTTGTCAGCGTAATTCCCTGTAGCATCCTCCAAGTTGTGTGCTTCGGTGGTATGTTGGTGTACTCCTTTTTATTGCCGAGGAGTGTGCTATGGTCTGTGGACCCACAGTCTGTTTATCTAGGCTGAATTTTGTAGTGCTTTCCCTCATTTCATTCCCAATAATCTTTCTAGGAGCTTAATTATTCATTTTTCAAAGAGCCCTCCTCCCACCACTTTTCCTCCTGTGCAACCTCTCCCTCTTCCTCCTCCTTTCCTCCTCCTCCTTTCCTCTAGCTCAGTGTGTGGCTGACCTCCCCCAGCTGGGCTTCTTCTCTGTGTCCTTGTTCCTGTGGAGCTCTTGGTCGGCCCAGCACAGTGCCCTGGATAGGCAGGCACTTCATCTCGGGCTGAACTGAGCTAAAAGTGCACACATGCAGCTCAGAGGGACTCTGCCCAGTCTGCCTCCTTCACCTGCTCGCTCACCTGCAGCCACCTCTGAGCAGCCCACCGAGGTGCTGGCTGCTCCCCCCCCCCCCCCCCCCCCCGTGGCTTCATGCTTCATACTTGGCTGTTCTCATCTCATTGGCGTGGTCACCAGCCAGCCGCACATCCCTGCCTCTTCCTCTTCCTCCTAAAGCCTCGGTCCTGGCTCCCTTTCACCCCTCACGGAACTGTGGTGACTCTGCTCTCCGGGTTGGTGTCCGGCAGGGGTTGTCAGCAGTGACCATCCTCTCCTCTCAGCTCTGCACGCTCGTCATTCTATTGAGGAAACGAGCCAGCGCGCCCCGAGTGTGCGTCTCGCTCGGGCAGTGGTGTCATGTTTCCATGGAGGCTCACCTGCAACAAACCTGTCCTCCGGGTCCTCGCCCCCTCCCCTGCCTGTAGGACTTCCTGAGTTTGGGTCTCTGCTGTCCTCGCAGAGGCTTGCTTATAGCTTCTTAGGTTTTCCCGTTGTTTCTGCTCGGCTTGATGGAATCACCTTTCCCAGGAGTGATCCCCCTCAGGGGCATCTCCAGGGGCGGGCTGGCCCCTTGCTTACAGGGTGTTTGGCTTCAGGTGATCGTGTTCCTGAAGAGGAAGGACACGTTCATCAGCCTGGTCCTGAAGCACATCGGCACCTCGGCCCTCATGGACCTGCTGCTACGCCTGGTCAGCTGTGTGGAGCCAGCTGGGCTCCGGCAGGAAGTCCTGCAGGTGAGTGTGTGGCCCTGCTCTCAGAGCCTGTCCCCTCCGGCGTGTCTGCAGATTCCTGATGGTGGTCATGGCTTGCACAGTGAAGGGGCTCAGCACTGGCGTGCTGGGCACTCCCTGCTTCCCAGGCCGTGTGTGGTGCCTCCCCTGGGGCCATCGGGCTCTGGTCAGGGCTGGGCTGAACTCTGCACCTTTTCCATTGTCCTTTCTCCGTCCATTCAGAAGCAAGAGCAGAACGTTCCTTCTCCCCCCCACCTCTCCAGCCTCTGCTCAGTGACCAAGCAGAACCCCAACTTTCCTTACCTCCCATCCCACCCCTCGGCCTCAGGCAGGACCTCCTGTGGCTCTGTGCCCTGCAGACTTTAGAAAGACAGAGCCAGGCAGGAAAAGGCAGAGACCACGGGCCTGTCGCTTGTCCTGCAGTGTGTGCCCGTGTCTGTCCTGATGGTGTGTCTGTCCTGATGGTGCTTATGGCCGTAGCTCCCTGAGGGTTTTCCCAGAAACGGGGGGAGAAGAGGGTTTCTCAGCCTAGAGAGGCAGGAGGTCAGTGCTGGCAGTGTGTCCCTGGTGCCTGGTGGGGTGTGGTTGCCGTGCAGTTTAAAGTAGGATAAACCATTGGTCCTCCTCGCCCATGTCCCAGCCCCTGGAATCGGTGACAGTGCTCATCAGGGTGGCAGGGCTCAGTCCTAGGCTAATAGTCCGGCCAGGGTGAGCTTCCCACTAAGACCAGTCACAGCCCATGCCCTTAGTGGGCGCAGGATCACATCTGCTGTTCTGAGCTGGAGGGAAGGCTCCCTGTGCAGTCCTGAGCACAGATCATCATCTGGGTAGGAGATGCTGGGGGAGCTGGGTTCAACCTTGCCCTTGAACCCCTCAGTGCCCAGCACGTCAGCCCTGGAGGGCTCCTGTGGCCTCACCAGGTCCTGGTGCTCCTGGGCACCCAGGGTCACGGGTTCCCTTCCGGGTCAGGCAACTACCCAGGTGTGGGGTTCAGTCCTCAGGGCACATATGGGTGGTGATCGATCGATAGTTCTCTCTTCCTTTCTCTCTCTCTAAAAAAAAAAAGATATGTCTTTGGATGAGGATTAAAAGAAAAAGAAAAAAGCAGCAGCTGCGTGCACTGGGAGGGGTGGTGGTCGGGTGCTCCAGGCAGAGCTGGCGTGTGCGAGTCCACCCCGTTAGGACACGGACGGCGCTTCCTCCCCATGAACGTCAGGCCGCTCCAGAGTCAGGTCACTGCCTGTTCTCTCTGGGCCTGGGGCACGTGCTGCGCAAAGAGCCTTGTCTGCATATGCTGGCATATGCACGCCACATTGGTGCGTGTGTAGGTTGTGCATGGCGTTCCACACGCAGAAGGACGTTCCCGTGTGGTTAGACATGAGCAGAGCCGTCACACCCTCCTTTCCCTTCCAGTGGCTCAGTGAAGAGAGGGTCATCCAGAGACTCGTGGAGTTGATCCACCCCCGAGAGGATGAAGACGTGAGTACACGTGCACACTCGGGCCGTGGGACAGTGCCCGCTGCTGCGTCCGAGGGGCAGGGCGGCCTTTCCGCTCAGGAGGCCGTGGCACATCTCTGTCCATCTGTCAAGCACTGACTCGGAGGCTTTGTTACTGACGAGTAACGTGCACGCATTACAGAGCCGCTCGCACAGAACTGTGTGTTTCCTGTGCTGGGGAACACGTTGCCCAAACTCATTCGCTCACAGCAGCAAGTGATTTTTATCTTTCTGTGGGTCAGCGATGTGGACACAGCCTAGCGGGCCCTCTGCCCAGGGCTCGCCTGGGGAGGAGGTTTGCTCACAGGGTCACCGGTGCCTCTCCACTGGACTGTCTGCAGGAATCGGGTCCTTGGGGCCTCTCCACAGGGCAGCCCGCAGTGTGGCTCGGCTTCCCTCGGGCAGCAGGCGGGAGCGGCGGCTGCAGACTCTCCTCTAAGCGAGAGGCTCTGCTGCGCTCTGTTCCCTGCAGGGGAGTGTCTGGTTCTGCCTGTGCTCGAGGCCCGGTTGGAGGGGAGAGCTCTGGCCGGAAGTTCTGCCAGGGAGGCATGGGGGTGCCAATGGTGTCTGTCCCGTCACCCCCCAAGGGTGTCTGCGCCGATGCCCTGAGCATGAGCGTTGGGGCGGACAGGCCTGTCCACGGGCCACAGGGCCTACCTGGCTGCTCCTGTTTCTCCCCATCCTTTAGCCGAGTGTCCTGATGCCCTGACAAGGGGCCAGGCTGCAGTGGAACCGTGTCCACTGCCCTGAGTAAACCCCGTGACCCACAAGTGCCCTGGGTCAGTTCTACACGTCCCTGCGGTCACGTTTCCCTCAAAAGTCGCGTCCTTTGTGTCTGTTTTCACGGGACTTTTCTGAGTAACAGGAGCTCCTTGTTAGGGTAAAAGATGGGACCAGGGAGGTGGTCCCCTATGCAGCGTAGCTCACCGTAGTCCGAGGGGCAGGCGCCCTGCGAGCCAGTGGAGCATTGAGAGTCCGGGAACTCGTACCTGCCTCAGAGCCCGCTCGCCAGGATCCCCTCCCCGGGCCAGGCAGTCTAGTGCGCCCTGACAGTGGGAAGCAGAGCAGACACCGCGGGAGTGACCTGGTTTAGAGCGTGTCCCCAGCTTCCAGGGCTCTGTCCACTGGCAGGTGCTGACGCGGCCCCTGGCTCTGACAGGCGCCGTGTCCCTGTCTTTGCAGAGGCAGTCCAACGCTTCCCAGACGCTCTGTGACATCGTCCGGCTGGGCAGGGAGCAGGGCGGCCAGCTGCCTGAGGCCCTGGAGCCGGACCCCCTCCTCGCAGTGCTGGAGTCGTGAGTGCTGTGGGCTAGTGGGATGCTGGCGGGCGCTGGTGGGGTGGGGTCTCTGAGTTAGGGTGCGTCACCAAGCCTGCCCTGTAAGCAGGTTCGGACTCGGAGGAGCTGGCTGTGCAGTGCTCACCGGACCCAGAGCTAAGCCCAGGGCCTGTTTCCCCGGGGAGGACTCTGGGCAGGTTCCCGAGTGCAGGCCGGCAGGGCGCACCTCCATGGGAGGCGGGGAGGGAGGCGTGCTCTGTCTGCTCTGCTCCAGACAGTGACCGTGTGTGACAGGCAGGACTGTGTGGAGCAGCTTCTGAGGAACATGTTTGACGGGGACCAGACGGAGAGCTGCCTCGTCAGCGGGACGCAGGTGCTGCTGACCTTGCTGGAAGCCAGGCGGGCTGGGTGAGTGCCTCGTGGGGAAGCATCGCCCTCACTGGGCGCCCCCTTCTGGCAGGCGGCTCGAGTGTGGGGACGTTCTCTCGAGGCCTCAGGCAGCCACCAACCTCTTGAGACAAGGGTGGGGGGTGTTGGGCAGGGGAGGGAGCTGCACGGAGCCGGGCTGTCCCGTCTCCATCTGCTTCCTCATCCACAGGACAGAGGGCCTGGTGGACGCCTTTTCTCAGGGATTGGAGAGGCTGTGCCCCATCAGCCGCAGCGTCCTGCACGGCATTGAGCCCAGGCTGAAGGACTTCCACCAGCTCCTGCTCCACCCGCCAAAGGTACAGGACCTCAGACAGCAGAGCGCCCCAGGTGACGCGGACGCGTGGACACGCTCCCTGCTCTTCCCTGGCCTGATGAGGACCAGGTGGTGCCAGCGCCTGTTCCGGACCCCCTGCTGCATGTCCGTCTGCACGGGGACTGGGGATGGGCCTTTTGCAGCCCCCTGATGACTTGCATTCTGAAATAGGGGTCGTCTGAGAGCCCACATTCACCGTCCGCCTGGCCTCTGAGGGCACCCAGCCAAGGGCCAGGGATCCCAGAGGAGGCCCCTTGCTCAGCTCAGCAGCTCTAGGGGGTTCTGGGGTCATGCTGAGGAGACTCGTTCTTTCACTGTTCTCCAGGCTGCCGCCCCGCCAGAAAGTAAGCTTCACCGAGGTAGAGATTCTGGAACATTTTGTTAGCAGAAAGGTGGCTACGTGATGCTGCATGTGCGGGATCAGAGAAGATCCGTGTGCAGCCTCCTAAGAGTTTCCAGGTGGCCCTGAGAGCGCTGGTCCTGCCTCGCACCCCGGTCTCACACTCCAGGGTGCTGACCCCTGTAGCTTGGGGAGCCTCTGGGTGCAGACCCCGCACTCACTTGGATGTCTCCTTCCCTCTCTAGCCAGTGCACTCTCGAGGAAGGCCCCCTCCTCTCTCCCCGAGCTGTGCCAGTGTGGACCCAGCCAGGCCCGTGAGCAGTGGTCACACTGGGCTGCCGGGTCAGTGAGTGCTCTATTTGCAGAAAGCCGCCATCCTGACCACCATCGGCGTGCTGGAGGAGCCCCTCGGGAACGCCCGCCTGCACGGCGCCCGCCTCATGGCGGCCCTGCTGCACACCAACACGCCCAGCATCAACCAGGAGCTCTGCCGGCTCAACACCATGGGCTTGCTGCTGGTGAGCAGCCCGCTCCTCCTCCCTCCCCCACGCGGCAGTGGGCAGGCTAGGCAGGTGCCCCGGGCAGGCCCAGCAGGCAGACATCTGGACCTCAGCCCAGGGGGGGCGCCTCGGGAAGCTCTGGTTTGGTCCTGAGACAGGCCCAGGCTGACCACAGCCTGAGCGAAGGTGGGACAGCCCGGCTTCGATGCAGCTCATGGAGATTGCCCTGCGAGCAGAGGCGGGTGTCTGTCTTTCTGAGGGAGGGTTAAGAAGGTCACACACTTCCAGATCGCTGCTCGATGGAGGACTTGGTTTTAGCCCTTCAGCACAGAGCATCCTAGAGGAGCAGCTGCTTGCTCTCCACAGGGCACCCCAGCACTTCCTGTCAGAGCCAGGGGAGCCTCGGGGAGCCATTCAGCGCCTGGGGGAGCCTGGGTGTCTGAGGAGAGGGCCCGCCAGGCAGAGGGTGCTGAAGCGGGGGCGTGGCTCTGCGGGCACCATAGGCAGATGCATCCCCAGCTGCCCTTGTGCCTCTGCTCCCAGAAGGAGCCAGGCTTGGAGCTGGGCCTGGAGTACTGGCCTCTCCAGGTTCTTCCCGATGTGGAAACTACAGAGAGTAATGAAGGACTTCCTTTTCCTCTCCTAAACATTGTTTTCTCTTTCCCTCCTCTTTTTATCTTTGCGGTGGTAAACAAACACATAAACATTTATCAGTTTAGTAATTTTAAGGATTCCAATTCAGTAGCATTAAGTACATTCACAGTTTATATAACCGTCCCACTGTGTATCTGCGGAACTTTGTTATCTTCAAACAAACACTGACATGAGGCAGTCTGTCCCCCATGCCCTTCCACAGCCCTCTGTGTGAGGTGGGCTCTGAAGGCCGTGGAAGTGGCATTGCCGTGTTGGCCCTTTGTGTCTTGAGTGTTGCACTGAGCATATTGTCTACGGGGTTCGTTCCTCCCTGCTGCGGCAGGAACCGGACGATAGCGGAATCGCCTCCCCTTGTAAACAACCTTGTCCATTCTCCTCGTTATGGATGTGTGAGTTGCTTTCCCCTTCAGCTGTTTTATTTATTTTATTTTTATTGACTTTAGAGAGAGGAAGAGAGTCAGAAACATCAGTGATGAGAGAGAATCATCTTGCAAGACCCCTACTGGGGATCAAACCCATAATCCAGGCAGGTGCCTGTGATCAGAATCTAGCCTAGGACCCTTCCGTCCCCAGACCAATGCTCTATCCATTGAGCCACACCGGCTAGAGCCCCTTTGGCTGCTTTGAATGAAGTTGCTATAAACATGGACGTGCAGGTTCCTGTGTGAGTCCAGCCTTCCCTCTGGTGAAACGTGCCCAGAAGTGGGGCTGAGGGTCATGTCGTGCTGTGGCTGCGCTCGAGGGAGCACGCTTTCCCACATGGCTGCCCGTTTCCTCCGCCGGCCGCGCAGGTGCCGGCGTCCACGTCCTCCCCGACGGGGTTTCCATTTTCTGTAAAAGTGGCCATCACGATGGCTGAGAGGCCGTGTCTCGTGGTGGCTTTGACTTGCATTTCCCTCATGGTTGGTGGTGCTGAGCACCTGGTCATGTGCTTTTGTTCGCCATTTGTGTCTTTCCTTTGAAAAGCTGTCCAGTCCTTTGCCCATTTTTGAGTCAGGTGGTTCTTTTGATGGTTGTTGAGTTATAGGAGTTCTTTATATATTATGGATTAAGGTTTTTAAATGGATTCTTCTCAATTCTGTGGGTTATTTTTTCATTCCATTTACACACACAAGTTTTTAATTTTAATGAAGTTCAGTTTATCTATTGGTTTCATATCCAAGAAATCATTGCCAAATCCACTGTCATGTCACTGACTCCTTGTTTTCTTCTAAGAGTTTTATAATTTTAGCTCTGTCAGGTCTTCGATGCACTGTGAATTACTTTGTAAATGCCGTCTTTGGGAGGGTTCAGCTTCGTTCCTCTGCCTGTGCATGCCCAGTTCCCGGCACTTTCCCCACTGAACGGCGTGGCATCCTGTGGGAAATCAGGTGGCCATATATAGGAGTTTATTTCTTGACTCTCAGTTCTTTTACCTTGGTCTCCATGTCTGTCCTCATGCCAGGACTAACTGCTGCTGTGAAGTGTGAGTCCAACTTTTTTTTTGGTCACGATTGTTTTCTTTTGGGGATCCCTTGTGATTCCCTATGAATATTAGGATGCATTTTTCTATTTCTCAAAAAAAAAGCAAAAAAAACCCCACAAAACCGCTAAGTGGCATTTGAAGAGACCTTCCTGAGTCTGTGGATCACTTTGGTGATGGTGTCAGCATCCTGCCTGACCTGCGCCTTCTCAGCGACTCAGGGGTCTGTGCTCCTTGGCCTTGTGCACATCTCTCACCTCCTGGGCTCACTCATTCCTAAGTGTGTTCTGTTTTTGGATACTGTTGAAAATGGAATTATTGCCGAGACCGGTTTGGCTCAGTGGATAGAGTGTCGGCCTGCGGACTGAAGGGTCCCAGGTTCAATTCCAGTCAAGGGCATTTACCTTGGTTGCGGCACATCCCCTGTAAGGGGCGTGCAAGAGGCAGCTGATCAGTGTTTCTCTCTCATTGATGTTTCTAGCATTCTATCCCTCTCCCTTCCTCTCTGTAAAAAGAAATCAAAATATATTTAAAAACTAACTAGGGGATAAAGAGAAAGGATAGAAGGAGTTAAGCTTCTAATTTGAAGACAAAAGATTGGCCCTCAGGCATGTTCAGGTGCCTCTGCTTGGGCTCGGCAGAGGGAGGCTCTGGGCTGGGGCACCGCCTCACCTGCCTACCATGGCCCCTCCCTGCTTGTCCCCAGGACCTGTTTTTCAAGTACACCTGGAATAACTTTCTGCACCTCCAAGTGGAACTGTGCGTGGCTGCGATTCTCTCCCACGCCCCCCGGGAGGACAGGGCTGAAGCCGGTGGCCCCGAGAGTGGGGACGCGGAGAGCCCGCTGCCTGCTGCCAGCCACGCCGAGAGCACGATGGTGACCCACGTGAGTCCAGGCGCCGCGTGGCGCTACGTGCTGAGCCTGCCACACCGCCCGAGGCCCCCCCCCCCCACCCCCGCGTTTTCTTTTCTGATCCTCACGTGACCTGGGTGAGCTGCCCTCCTTTTGACCTTGAGAGAGGAAATCACAGAAAGAGGGCATGAGAAAACATCCCGGGATTTGGGGTCCTTTGAGTCCACATGCGTCATCCTCGATGGGACGCATCTCTCTCCTTTCCTTCTCCCCCGGGAGTGCTTCCCACGATGCTCCCCTCCAGGCCACCTGCTTGCTTGCCTGCTAAGCCCACTCGGTTCATGGAGGGTGGAGGGGAGCACGCAGCCCCTCGGACCCTGACCAATCAGCCTGTCCCCCCAGCTATTTCAGAAGTGCTGCCTGGTCCAGAGGATCCTGGAGGCCTGGGAGGCCAATGACCACACACAGTAAGAACCACGGGGGCTGGAGATTGTGTGCCAGACCCAGTGGCCCCGGGGCTCCACAGGAGGTTGGGCTTCCAGAGGGGCTTCTGCTGCCGACACCACTGCCGGGCTGCCAGGAAGGCCAGGGCTGTGCTGACACGAGCCAGGCGCCCGGCCAGGAGGGCTCCTTCCCCTCAGGCTCCACCAGCCTGGCTCCCGGGCCTCCTCCACCCTTTCCTCTGCCCCCTTGCCCATCCTGTGCCCACAGTGTGTCCCAAACCCCCACTTCCCCATCCCAGCCCCTGCCACTTCTACCACTGAGCCTTTGGGCCCTCAGAAGAGTGTCCAGGCACTTCCTGCTCCCTCCCTGCCGCTTTCGGCCTCTGTGAGCAGCTGGGCTCTTTCTGGAACAGATGCTGACGCTTCTGCCTGAAATTCCTGCCACTCGGGTCCCAGGATGGCCTTGAGGGTCCAGTGTGGCAGCCCTCCCTCTGCCCTGCCCGCTAGCCTGGGGGTGCCTCCCTCCCGGCCTATCCCTCATCTGCTCTTAACCCAAATGTCCGTGCAACCACAGCCTGGCGGCTTCCCCATTGTCTGGTCTGCGTGTGTGTGTGTGTGTGTGTGTGTGTGTACAGCACCTCCCAACGCAGGCAAGCCATGAGGAGGGACTCGGGAGCGGTGGGCAAGGCCCAGGCCTGGCAGCTGCCCTCATGCTGCCCTTCGTTCGCTTCCAGGGCAGCAGGTGGCATGAGGCGCGGGAACATGGGCCACCTCACCCGGATTGCCAACGCGGTGGTGCGGAACCTGGAGAGGGGTGCCATGCAGACGCCCGTCAGCGAGGTTATCCAAGGTGAGCCCTGGGCGCACCTGGCTGCCTTGCCTCGCGGGGGCCTTCCCTTGGCTGGGTGTGGGCCCGGAGCTTTTCTGTTGGCAGATGTCTGTTCGCGCTCAGGGCACGCCATGCAGTTGTGAGCCAGGCAGCCCTCCCGGCCAGGCCTCCCCTCTGCACCCTGGGCTGCTTCCTACTTGAGAGGCAGGGCCTCGCTCCGGCAGCTGGTGCCCTGATCCTTCCCGCACGTCCTGGCACTGTCAGCAGCTCCGGGGAGGGTCCATGTGGTCTCACTGGGGAGGAGGATGCCAGGCAGACAGAGCAGGGTGTGCCCAGGGTGGGTGGACTGGGAGATGTCCAGGCGGTGGAGTGTGTTAGGGGCAAGGGTGGGGGTGTATGCAGATGCTGTGAGCCCAGAGGGGGCACAGGGTACTGGCATTCAGTTGTGCTGCAGGGGTCATCAGTCAGACCACAGGCATGGCCTCGCTGGACCTGGCGTGTCCCCACGTGGCAGCCCGTGGTCGCGGGCAGATGTGAGCCCAGGAGGTCCCGGAGGAGGGAGGCTGTTCTCTGTCAGTGCCTCGGGCTAGGGTCGGGCCTTCTGGTCCCTCTGTTGCATGATGAGATGGGGCCAGGGAAAGCTCCCCAGGATGGTCCAGGTGGGGAGGCGACAGCAAGTGGAAGCTCTTTGCTGTCATCTTTCCTCGCCGTTTCCGTGGTGTGAAACGGAAGCTCCGACCTCTTCGAAAAGCGGGTGGGGCATGCGGGTTGTGCAGAGGCCGGGCTGTTGGCCACTTTGTTATAGGAGCCGGCGCTGCGTGTCTATCGGGCCCCTTGGGGTCCCTTGTGCACCAAGTAAACTCAGGCTCTGACACCCGCCAAGTCAGGCCTTGTGCCTGCTGCACAGGCGGCCTGGGACCTGCAGTGGCTCTCGGGACCAGGCAGCACTTCCCTTGCAGGGCTGCCTGCGGATTGCCGTGGGCGCTGGGAGAGCTTCGTGGAGGAGACGCTGACGGAGACCAACCGCAGGAACGCTGTGGACCTGGTGAGGAGTCTGGTCTGCCCGTGCATGCATCTGTGGCCGAGCGTGGGCTGAGCCTCTGCTGTGTCCAGACACAGACCCTCTGACCACAGGCCTGGGCCATCCCCGTGCGGGCCCGAGGCCCCGAGCAGAGCTGCTGTGGCCGCTCGGTCCCATCCCTGTCGTGTCAGGAGGCCCAGTGTGGCCTGAGAGGCGTGTGCCCAAGACCCAGTGAGGGCTGCAGACGAGGAGCAGGCTAGGCACCAGCCCTGGCGCCAGCTCACTCCCGCCAGCTCACACCCCCACTCTGCTGTTGCAGGTAAGCACCCACCTCCACCCCTCGAGTGAGGATGAGGACATGGAGGGCGTGTTCCCTAACGAGCTGTCCCTGCAGCAGGTGCGTGTGGCCAGGCCCTTGTCCGCAGGCCTAGCGGCACTGAGCCTCTAGGCGTCCCGGGGCATCTCGCCAGACTGCCGGGAGAGGGCGAGGGGAGCGATGCTCCTTGCACCTGGCCCTGCCCCTCGCCCTGTGATGAGGGGAGCCTCCCCCAGGCCACTTACATGGATGGGCCTTTGGGAACGCGGCAGGCGGATGACAAGTCAAATAGGCTGAGTGGGTGTGGCCGCACGCACACGCACCCTGTGTGGCCGAGCGGGGGGGAGCGAGTCTGAGGCCGTGCCCGCCCCCCAGGCTTTCTCCGAGTACCAGGTCCAGCAGATGACGGCCACGTTCGTGGACCAGTTTGGCTTCAACGACGAGGAGTTTGCAGACCAGGACGACAGCGTCAAGTGAGCCCAGCATGTGCTTGGCTGCCTTCCTCGCACACCACAGCCCTGCTTTGTGGCATCACCCCCCTCCCCCAACCCCACCCAGTCCCTTCCGGAAAGGTGGAGGTGGGCTCTGCTAGAGGCTGCCCCATTCCTCAGCCCAGCCAGGTGTGAGCTGTGTGGGAAGGGCTGGGCAGAGAGGGTCCCTCACAGCCTGAAGACTCAGAGAGGGCAGGTCATCCCGTCCAGACCAGATGCGGCAGCCAGGTTCGAGTCCCCAGGCTGCCCCCTCAGAGCCGGGGAGAAAGCAAACGAGCCCGGGGCATGGGCCCCACCGGGTGACCACACCCCTGGACTGGCCTGGGCGTTGGTCTTGTGCTCTCAGCCCCACTGCTCTGGGCTACAGACTCCCTCGGCCTCCGGCCAGCCCGACGTGCCCACCGCGCTGCAGCCTGGAGGGGGTCACCCAGATGCCACGCGCTGAGCGGCTTTGTTTTTGTTCTTCCAGCGCTCCCTTCGACAGGATCGCAGAGATCAACTTCCACATCGACGCCGACGAGGACAGTGTGAGTCTCCTCTGTCTGCGGGCGGTGGGCGGACATGGCGGTGGTGGGCAGCGGGGCGAGGGGCTGCTCCCCGGGAGCCCATCTTGTGTGGCTGCGGCCAGCCTCGGGCTGTGTGAACACGTGGCTCCCACAGCCCAGCGCGGCTCTGTTTGAGGCCTGCTGCGGGGACCACATCCAGCCCTTCGACGACGATGAAGACGATGACATCTGGGAGGACAAGGAGACCCAGTGTGCTGCCCGGGGCCTGGGCAGAGCCAGGTGTGTGCCCGCCCGCCCGCCCCAGCCTCCCCGAGGGACACAGGCCCCGCCCTGCCTGGTCGTGATGTCCCCCTGAGCTAACTGTGCTCCCCCAGGTTTGGGGGCCCGCCCGCCGCAGAGAGCTGCCCTGAGAACGGCCGTGGAGACCGGGATGGGGCGGAAGCCAACGGGGATGTGGCTCCCGCAGAGGCTCCTAAGGCCTCTGCCCAAAAGGGCGGTCCTCATGTGGAAGGTGGCTCAGAAGGTAGGTGCTTGGTGTGCAGCATTCAGGCCGGGCAGGGGCACAGGTGACAGAGGACTGGATGCCCTGGCGGGTGCCCCTAGGCATCTGCCACCTGCCGACCCGTCTGCACTATGGAGTGTGGTCCTGCAGGCTCCCCGTGCCCAGCGAACAGGCCTCATGCTTGGCCCTCAGCCAGACGCCCAGCTGCCCGGTGGGGGCACCACTGCTGGGTGTCTGGCTGCATCTGGGCTGAGGGCTCTGGTCTCGTCCCCGGCAGGTGCCACGTGGACAGCGTTTGATGAGCCGGCGGGCCCAACCGCTGTCGCCCCGGGAGTGGCGATGGACGTAGGCTCCAGTGTGTGGGCAGCCAGGGCTCCCAGCGCCACGGCTCTGGAGGAGAAAGGCTGGGCCAAGTTCCCCGACTTCCAGCCCTTCTGCTGGTGAGGAGGCAGGGAGGGCAGGCGGTGGCCACGCCCAGGTTGGGCGGAGTCTCCCTGCAGGGCCTCAGCCTCGGCTTTGTTCACAGCTCCGAGTCGGGGCCCAGGTGCAGCTCCCCGGTGGACATAGGACCCAGCGATGCCCAGGGCAGCCTGAGCCAGGGCCCAGAGAGAACCGGTGAGTCAGAGCACCTCCGACAGCTGTGCAGCGGGCAGAGTGGCCCAGGCCCAGGGTGGGTGGAAGGCCTTTGAGCCGCCCCTGGAGGGAGGGGCTGCCCCTGCATCTGCCTGTGCCACCGGGACCCCTGGCAGCCTTCCTCATGCCTCGCCCGCCCTCAGCCACCTCGGGCAGCTGGGGGGCCTGTCCAGGGTGTCTGGCCCTGAGCCCTTTGGACAGGTCGGGAAGCCCCAGGCTGTCGAGGGCCACATTGGGAGGCGTGGCTCTTAGAAGCCACAGGGAGGACAGTTTCTTCGTGGGCAGGCACTCCTTGGCAGACAGGTTCTGTCCCAAGTTTGAGGCTGAAGCTTTTGCATGCCCACCCAAGTTTGGGGCTCCTCTGCCCTCACCAGTGCCCCCCCCAATCCCTGTCTTGCAGTTGGCCCCGCCTCCCCGTGTGCCTGGAATGTGTGTGTCTCCAGGGACGCCCCTCTGGTAGCCTCCAGCAGTGACGAGGACGAGCAGAAGGTGGCTGTCGCCTCCGAGGCTATCAGTATGGGTCCCGGCCAGGAGGCCCCCTCACTGCCCACGCCCGTCCCCAGGTGTGCAGGATGGGGTGGTGCAATTGTCCACAGCTCTCCGCTTGCCCTGGAGAAGGTGGACCCTGTGACTCCGCAGAGGTGGCTCTGTGGGGAAGGATGCTTGGGGGTGAGCAGAGGACCTGAGTGTCCCACCTCAGGGACCCGAGAATGGGGCCGCCCCACCCATAGGCCCGCCTTGAAGAGAACGGCCAGGCCCTGCTGGGCCACTACGCAGGCTCTGGGGTGGCCTTGGATGGCTGGGAGGGGGTTCAGCTTTAGCTTGTCTGGTATGTGCCAAGTCCCAGCCACATGCCCGCCTAAACCGGGTGCCTTGGAAATAAATGCCTGTTGCGCTCAGACAGTGGGGGGCCTGTTGCGCTCAGACAGTGCAGCTGACCTCTGATGGGCGGTGGCCTCTGTGCAAGCTGAGCCCCCATGTGTCCCATCCCTACCCTCAGGGAGAGGCCAGCCTGGCCTGGGGGCAGCACAGTGTTTTGGAGACGGGAAGGAGTGCTGGGAAGCCCGTGGGGGGGGGGGACGCGGGCGGTGCGATGTGATGTGTACTGTGCAGTCACAGCAGGCCGTGCTGAGTAAGATGGCGCCTTCCCACCCACCCCGGTTCCCACCTAAGGTGGAGCTCTGTGCACCCCATGGTGGGGGTCCTGCTCTGGCTCACAGGAAGTGGGGGTGGGGCTTCAGGAACAGAAAAGCAGGCCAGGCAAGGGGCCAAGCCTGGGGCTTCTGCGAGGTTTAGCTCCTTAAAGCAGCAATACAGTTCTTAAACCTCCCCGACCTCTCCCCTCCCCACCAGCTATCCTGACAGCGGGTTACGTCTATTCCACATGCTGCCAACCGCACCTGGCGCAGCCCCACGACACCCCTCCGCAGGCTCCCGGGGTCCTTGTGAGGGTGGTGCTGACATGGCGCAGTGGAAGCATGTGCTGGGCAGGTGTGGGCCAGCTCATGCCCTGGCCCTTTCTAGGTGTGGGAGGGCAAGTTCTGGGCAGACATGGCCGGGGCTGTCAGGAAAGTGCCAGGACCAAGTGTGGTCCCCAGAAATGAGGGCCCTGGGGGACAGGCAGGTTGCTCTGACATGTTGGGAACCTGGGGCAGCCCAGGTCACTGAGCCCACACCTCCCCACAGGGCTCCCAGCACGCTGCCAGGTCCCACCTCCTCTGCACCTGCAGAAGCCACCTCCACCCTGGCGGGGGCTGTCCCCCCCAAGGCAGCCTCCACAGCTGTGAGCAAGGCCAGTCCTGCCCCAGCCCCCACAGGGGTGCTGGCTGTGGCAGTGCCCCCAGGGCCCTTGGTGGCCGTCACAACCACAGCTGCAGCCGGCCCAGCTGTTGCCACAGTGGCCGTTCTGGGGACAGTGACAAAGGACAGGTGAGCAGGCTTGGCCGGGGTTGGGGGGACTGGACAGGGACCCTCGGACCCTTAGGTTCCAAACCCTACTCCTCTCCTGCAGGAAGACGGCTGCCCCACCACCTGCAGGAGCCGCCTCCAATGGCCCTGTGTGATGCTGCCACCCAGGCAGGGCGCGCCCTTAATCGAAAACCTACCTGGTGATGCAATTTGTCTTTTTTAATTTAATTTAATTTTAAAATAAATGCTGCATTGGTAAAGCTGGCAGTTGGACCCAGTCGGACGGCCCAGCTCGCGTCGCTCCTGCCTGACCCCAAGCACAGCAATAAGTCTTCAGACATGCGCTCTGCCTGCCAGAGCCCGGCCACCACCCTGGTGTCACAGGACTGAGGCGTGATGGGCAGGGACGCCACAGGCTGCCAGCCGTTTTTACAGATTTTTAAACAACGCAGAGAGCCGTGTTTGCACTTTGTATCTGGCTGCAGTGAAGGGTCTCCCTGACCGGGACAGATGTATGTCCAGGCCTGGGCTGGCCACACGGGTCTTAGCTGCCCAGGGGTCCTGGGAGCTGGCCTTTGAGCCAGGATGCAAAATTTGACTGCCTTAAAAATACCGAGACCCTCACAGCCCGGCAGGGGTAGCCCGACCCTGGCACTCCGGTGCGTTTGGGCACCTGGCAAGAGCTGGCCATGGGCATGCAGGAAGGGGCATGCAGGAGGGGCGGGGGCAGAGACTGGCCCCAGCAGTGCTGGATGGGTGGGGGCAGTGCCATCGTCCAGGAAGGCCTGTAGATACAGCGTGTGATGCCGAGTCCATTTTTAATGTTCTGATCTCTGACAGGGCACCCAAACCCCAACGCCCAATAAAGTTGTGTTATTCTTACAACTGCGTCTTGTGAAGCTGCACACCCTGGAGCCCATCCTGGCCAGTGGGGAGGGAGGGGTGCCTGCTGCCCCAGGCCCGCCCGTCAGAGCTGCAGGCTCCACACCTGAGCAACAAGGAGCAAGAACACATTGAGCTTTTTCTCCTTGTGAAGCAGCCTCTGCCCGCAGCTCACAAGGGCTGCCCCATCCTCCCTGGCCAGGAGGGAGGGGCAGCTAAAGGGCAGTGTCTACCCCAGGGTCTGTGCCTGGCTACTGGTCGGGAGGGTCTCCCAGGAAGCCTTGGTGCTGTCCTGACCTTGCCCTAGTGCCACTGCTTTGGGGACCCCAGGGAGCAAGCCTCATGGCCCCACCACATCCAGGCACAGGACCTCAAGCCTGTCCGTTTCCTGGGTGTTAGAAACGGTCCCACAGCCGTCAGCATGGCATGGGAGGACCTGGGGGTCCCGCCCCTACCCCTACCGCTAACCCTGTGCTGGCAGAGGTCCCGCCTGCACCTGTGTCCGCCTCTGCTTATCTTCTACTCCAGCTAGGCCCTCACACCACCAGCCCCTCTGCAGTGTTCTCTCAGCTCCAACACCTCACACCCCGCTCACGTCTGAATGGGTCAGAACAGTCACTGCCTCCCGGCCATGCCGGCTCCACATATGACCCTCTCCCCACATCCTTGGGCACCCTCGCTCCCAGCCCGCCCTCCTAGCACCTCCTTCCACCTGACCAGCCACCAGCATGTATCAGAGACCCCAACCTCCAGCTCTCCGCCCAGTCTGCCCTCTGGACAGCTTCCCAAGAGCCATGCAAGCAACCAACTCCACCTCCCCTTACGGAAACCACTGCCTCGGGGGCACCAGGGACATCCTCAGGCTCTGGACCTCACAGCGACCCACCGCCAGGGAGATGGGGCCCGGACCAAGCTGGGACCTGGGGAGCCACCCAGGGCTGTGCTCGACCCCCACATGCCGACCTGGTCCTTTCCTCCGGGAAGCTGAGGCGAGCAGGCGGGTGGCACATGTTCGTTCTCTTTATAGACTCTGGTAGGAACAGGGTGCCTGCGGGCCGCCGGGGCCACCACGCGGACAGGGCGGGGCTATTTACAGGCCCACCGAGGGCTGTACCATGGCGCCTCCCGCCAACGCTCAGCCAGACTCCAAAGCAGGTCAGAGCTGGCCAGGCGGGCAGGGTGGGCAGGGTGGGGTTGGCAGGGGCTGTACACACAAATTCGGGGGCTGGGCCTCAATACTGTCAAGGGTGGGGGCTGTAAACATGGCCGGGGGGCCCTGCCCACCCCTAGTGGTCTGTAATTGGACACAGCGCGGCAGGGCTGGGCTCAGGCGTCTGACAGGCAGCTCTGGATCTGGTCCACCCACTGCTGGGCCGACAGCACGTCCTGGGCACAGAAGTTGTAAACACGACGAGTCGTCTTCACCTGGGGAGGGTGGGCAGCTGAGTCCGCGACCCACCCCACAGCATCCCCCGGCCCGCCCGCCCGGCCGCCTTCCTCCTGCACCCTGGCCACAGCTCACGTCGAAGAAGGCCTTCTCGTCCACGGTCTTGGGGGCGCCCATGGTGGGAGTGCCAGGCACCACGGCCTCCACCTCCGCCAGGTCGATGACCCCCTTGCACTCTGTATCTGTGCGGTGGTCGTAGTAGCGCAGCTGAGGGGGACAGGAAGTCAGGGCAGGTCCTAGCCCCCGCCTACCCTATGCCCACGCCACGGACCACTCACCTGGTGCTTCGTCTTGTCCAGCACGAACCAGCGGGCCTTCCAGGGCTTCATGAAGGCCCCCTTCTTGTAGAGGGTGCCCTCATAGGACCTGCATCGGCAGCGGAGCCGGGACCATCAGCGCCCAGCCAGGCCCAGCTGTCCCCTACCCTCCTGGCCAGTCCTAGCAGCAAGACCAAGGCCCCTGTCCCCAAAAGACCCAAGGCTGGAGCACTGACCAGGGAGCCCCAGAAAAGTGGAGAAGAGCCCCCCACATCAGAGGTGCCGTGGAAGGAGGAACATCCAGCAGCTCCCCAGGCCCGGAGGTGGGGATGCAGCTGCCAGGCCCTGGCCTCACGGGGAACCTACTCCAACCTCACCTGGCACCCTGCCTGCCCTCACGGAGCCCATAGCCCTGTCCCTCTGCTCCGCAGCCACCTTCTGGGCTGGGCTATGGTCACTGGTTCTATATCCCAAACCCTTTCCAAGCCACTACTGTGTCCCTGGCAACTGAGCTGATGCTCAAGCCACCATGGGGCTCCCCCACAAGTCCTTTCCCCGGAGAATGACTAGAACTTCCCCCAGAGCACCTGCTCCTGATCTGAAAGGCCCCAGCCCAGAAGTGCCCGCCCACTGGAGGTGCCTCACACCTGTTCTCGCTCTCGGCAGTCTGGAACTGGCTGTACAGGGTGCTGGTGCTGCGGCGGGCGGCCTGGCGGGAGCCGGACGTGGTTGAGCCACTGCTCTGGTCACTGTCCAGGCTGAGGCTCAGGGTGGAACCCACAGGCCCCTCCTGCAGGTACACACCCAGCGAGCGGCGGTGGTGGGGCACACTGGACACCAGCAGAGAACTGGGGGTGCCCTGGGGGCAAGAGATGGGCCTGTGTCAGTGCCGGGCGGCCTGAACCACCTCCTGGCAGCAAGCCCCCCCAGCCCCTCACAGCCACCCCTGCTCACACGTCCGTCTGGCCGGCCTTCGAGGCGTTGGGCAGCCTTCACCCGATCCCAGTTGTCCTTCCACCGCTCGGGGGGCCGGCCCAGCTCTGTTTCCAGCCGCTGCAGCTCCTGGGGAGGAGGGAGCTAGCGTTATTCAGAAGTACCAACCCTGGGACATGAAACGGAAAAGGAAGAAAATACAGGAAAGTGAGAAAGTAGGAAAAGGGCTAACGTGTAACAGAACAAAAGGAGAAGGGGGGACGGATGCACAGAGGTGCAAAATCTAAACTTCAGCTGGAAGTTTTACCAAACAAGCAAGAGGCATCACAACAGAATCAGGGCACAACCAATCCAGCAGGCTACAGCAGGAGAATGGCTGAAATACAGAGAAACCCGCTCCCTGCCAGAAAGTGGCATGCTTGCTCAGAACGCAACAATGAAACTGCCGGCTGACGTGCCCTCCAAGGCGGGACATCCACCTCTGGCCACAACAGTGTCCGGCTCCTGACCAGCCACCATAGGTACCCATGGGCCGGACAAGTGCGGCCAGAGGCCCTGAGCTAGTGACACCAGGGCCACGGCCACAACCGGGAGGCAGAGCCCGAGCCAAGCACCGAGGGGCTGAGTTGCGCAGCCACCAGGAGGCTGGAGAAGAGGGATGGCACAGACAGAAACCACACGGAGGCCTCCTGAATGTTTGGCCAAATTAAACTGCCACGTGCCAGGCAAGACGTCTCACGGCCTAAGCAACTACTAAGGAGCTGAGAGCTAAAGCCCAGGGGACGCACTGCGGGGAGATAAAGGAATGCCACACCCAGGGCAGGCTCGGCGAGCACACGCAGACGTCAGCAGAAACCCAGGCGAGGCCCCGTCTGTGGAGCAGGCTCCTCTGAACCAAAGGGAAGGTGTCTCTTGAGCTGCCTTAACAAAGCTGAGAAACAAGCCCAGGAAAGACCCGCTGACACAAGCCCATTAGCTGCCTACAAGAATAAAATTCAAGACACTTTCAAGGAAGACAACGCATTCCTAATGTTCAGCAATATGGAACCCACAATGCCCAGCTTATAAAAAAAATTATTAGACAAGCAAAAATGCAGGAAAATGAGATCCATCCTTAGTGGAAAGGTTAAAAGAAACAGCCCCCAAAATGAAATTGGTATTATAGTTACCAAACAAGAAAAGGAAAAGTTATAATGTTTTAAGATTTAAAGATGGACATAATGATTGAACAGATGGGAGCTCTCCTGAGAATATAACTATTAAAAACAATTCTAGAGCTGAAAACATCTAAAATGAAAAATCAGACAGGCTTAAGTGCACATAAACATAAGAAGAGAAATAAACTTGAAGACAAGATAATAGAAATGCTCCAAAATGAATTGCAGAGGGAAATTAGCCTAAATGACTAAAAAAAATAGGAGGGAAAATAGCCTAAATGACTGGGAAAATCAAGTCCCAGAGGAAAGAAGGGAGAATTGTGAAGAAAAAAACTTTAAAAGAAATAATAGCCTAAAATGTATTAAACATGTTGAAAACTACCATCTCATAGATTAAAGGTGCTCAAAGAGCTCCAAGCAGAATGAACACAGAAAAACCATGTGACGGTCAAATTGTTGAAACCAAAGATGATGAGAAA